GATGGAATATACCTTAGAGAAGGATGAGGAGCTGGCAAGCATTACTAAGGGTATCCCAAAAAAAAGCAAAATACACAATTTTGGATAAGGACGTCCGGAATGAAATTATCCAAACAGTGGCTGGAGAGGTCAGGAAAAAATATGACCCCTCAGTCAGTTGGTCTGTGCAATGTTTCTGAGGCTGTTAGTGCAGCACCTTAAAGAAACATGAGGTTTTTCCGTGAGGATGACAGCTGGGGAGTGTCTTCTCCTGATGAGGATGAGTCACATCCAACAAAGAGAAGGAAAACTGAGCAAACACCTGGATCAAAGTGTTGTGCTCTCAACTTTGGGCCATACAGACTCTGGTGAACCTACCATTTCTCCCCATAAGTCTCGGAAAAGATCCCTGCTCATCATCCTTGACTGGGGCCATTTCAGAAATGGAAACTAGATTTTACCATAAGAATAATGACCTGATGAGAGCCATATCTAAGTCTTGCACCCAAATCTAGCACATTTCTAGACCCCACCCTGTTGCACCCTCTGGCTGTGATGGCTGGCACTGTAGTAGATGTTGTAAATCTGAAAAATGAAGTTCTTGTGGCAAAACAGATGCTGCTCAAACAATGTTCAAAGGAAACAGACCTGTCCACTGTGTGTAAAGTCCTACAGGAGTACAAGGAATCCTTTCCTGAGTTCCATAACTTGTGTGTAACAGCCCTGGTGATTGGTGTGTCTTCAGCATCATGTGAGAGTTCCTTCTCAACTTTGTCACAGGTCCTAACCTTTAATTTTGTTAATATGGGCAATACTGAGAAGTGTTATTGTTGGGTTTTAATATATCTGATATCGAGTATCTCTTTGTGAGAAATTCCACTTTTGTGAGGTACTGTTATCGAGCACACCACCCCTTTCCCGCCTCCATTGCCACCATGTGCCATCTTTACATTTCTGTCTGCCCCCTCATTTATGCCTGTCTAGAACCGGCCCAGAAAATTGATGTAATTGTACTTGACCCCAAAAATCTTTGAAATATGGTGTCTAATCAGTTGAGTACTCTGGATGGCATTACCTTGGCCTCCAGCAACACTGTGAAAAAACTTGGAGTCATTTTTGACCAGGATATCTAAAATTAAATCCTGTCTCAGGGTGACGCTGAAAAACTAGTTCATACATTTAATGCTTCTAGTCTGGACTACTGTAATTCGTTATTATCAGGATATCCTAATAACTCCCTGAAAAGGGAGAAAGAAACCATCTGTACTTTTAAAATGAGGCTTTGAAGGAAATGTCAGTAAATAGTACAGATGATCTACTGTCAATCTATAGAATTTTCTGTTTTACTAGTTTTGGAAAAGTCTGTGAAAGTCCGTTAAAAAAAAATCTCCTGGCAAAAAACTAACAGGACATTTTCTTTTTTTCAATTGAATTTATTTTTTTACAGTTTTTAGTGCTCACTCCTTCTTAGGTCAAACTCTTTTCCCAATCTGGTGATTTGAGGAGAAAGACATGATGCAATTGATCCAGCAATTTTTGGTTTGGCCTGGGATAGATTGGGATTGGTTGCTCTTGAAGCTTGTTTTTCACGGTCAGAGTAGCGTGGAGGTGAAGCTGTGGAAAACTTGTCCAAATCTGGCCCTGGATTTATGTCTGATGATGTTGACCTTGCTGGTCTGTCATTTTGCTCTGCCCTTTTTTGTAAATGTGGTCTAGACTAGTGTGGACAAGAGAGGAGGGAATTCATCAAAGTGACCCAAATAAAACTGAAAGCATGCTTATATAAAACAAACTTG